AAGTGAAGCATTTTGGCAAAAACAATCTCGTTTAAGTCCTATAAGCGCTGTAGCGCTTACAGGCAGATAAATGTATACAATAAAAATATTCGCAGAATATGATGGCTTCATTTTGCGCAGCGTCGATTCTTTGTAGTGCTCGTAGTGATGAACTGGAACTCTGTCAGAAGTGAAAAATGATTCAAAAATTGATCTCTGAATTTCAAAACCGGTGTTCTCATTCAGATGAAATCAGTCGAACAGTGAGCAAAGAAATACTCTGCGAAACGAATCAGATGCAAATCACATGCAAAAAATGGAAGTATTTCTTTCATTTAGCGAATTCTATATGAAGCAAGAAAGGTTGATTTGGGAGACGTGTGTATGGTACGTAACAGCAGCCTATTCTGTTGGTTTGAAAGGACCTCGTTTCAATTGTACCTGCGAGCTTTTTGATTTATTGTATGCATGCTTACGGTAATCTGAGCGTCTTATAAGTGCCTATTTTGGATACAGGTCGAATTTGCATATATAAGAGAGCGTAAGTATGAATCTGTTGGTTCATTTGACGCCCGAATTTAGAATACTTTGTTGTACACCATGTTCATCCATATAACTTTGTGCAATAATTCCGATAAATTAACACAGTAAGTAATTCGTAGAATGTGATGGCTTCATTTTGCTCAATCTATGATTACTTGTCAGTGCTCATGCGAACTCTGACAACCAAGAAAAATAATTTCTGAAATTGACCTCTGAGTCGAAAGAATGTATTTCCGGGTCAGCTGAAAAGAATTCCAAAATCAGCAAGGGCGTGCAGGATAAATCGTGCCAGGCACAGACCGCATGCAAGAGAAAGAAAATTATTTTGCAGTGCGCTGAATTCACTCTGAAGCTAAAAAAGCTGACTTGGCACGAATATGTTGTTCGTAACAATAATCTAACATATTGATTTGTAGAGGTCTCGTTTCGATTCTACCTTTGGATAGTTTGACTGATTGTATGCTAACGGTAAAACCAGTGTCATGCTCGAGCTTATCTTTGGTACAGTTCAAATTTTCATAGATAACGGCCTATAGGTATTTATCGGTTTGTTGATTTGAGGGCCGAATTTAGATACGACGTATTCATCCGTATATATTTCTGCAAATAATTCACAGTTTTTTAAGTATGAGTCTCGAGGAACAAAAATCAGGAGGGAGACACGGATTATCTGCTTTAGTTACATGTAAATTTAATCATGCTTTTTTGGTTCGTTCGAAAAGAACAGACATACGTGGGCAGGTAATTTCGTTAACGTCACTCCGAAATCTATCGTAGGAGCAGCACTTCTTTCGAATGGTATGTTGAGAACAAGAGCTTATTCGAGACAAGAAATGAAGCACCTTGGATGAAAACAAATTTCGTTTACCCATTTTAAACACCCTGGCATATATAGACAGATAAAAGTACACTGTAAGGTATACGTAAAAAATGATGGCTTCATATTGCTCGAAATCAATCTGATATCACTGCCTATCAGTGCTCATGGTCTATGATGAACTGGAACTCTGTCAATCGTGAAAAATGATTCTGAAATTGGCCTAGGAGTTGAACGCTAATATACTTTTATCATCTGTAGGGTATGTACGAACAGACATTCTTTAGCAAAGCAAAAAGTGAAATGAACAACTAACCTTCTAGAACCTCTTAGAAACGTCTAACCATTACTATGGTTACCAGATGGATACTAGGTGCCGAAGATCAGGTTACATCCGTTTTCTAGTTGGTAATTTTTAGCTGTTTGCTTTGAGCAACTGATGCATTATTTGTGTCATAAAGTTATAACTGGATCAAAATAAGACATAAACTTACATTCAGCTCATTTGCGTAGGTTAATCACACGAAAATATGGAAAACAATACATACAGTTGGGTCAGATTTATAAAACATTCAAAATCTTCGTACAATGCATATCAAACACGAGAATAAACAGTTTTCAAAAGGAATTAAGTATTTTTCCCAAACAGCCGTTGCCCACCAGCATTTCGATAACTAAAACATCATAAATGCTAAAACAGAGATATAGCGCGTATAATAACACAACCGCAACGACAGAATGACCATCTACTGACTCTTTAGCCTGATTTTATAATATATTAAGCTGAAAGACGTCAAATGATTAAGTTCTTATTTCTGAATATATTTTACTACGCCAAAAAGCAAAGTAAGAAAAACATTTTGTAATAGAAAATGTTACCGCTTCGTGGTAAGCATAAAGGCTGAAAATACGTTTTGCTATTATATACGAAAAAGTAAAATATTTTAAACGGTGAGCATTGAATGCAGATTTTGCTAATACGACCAGCTGGAGCGAACCTAGGGCCAAATGACCACATTACATTGACCACCTGGGTCGAAACGTATTCAGTAGGACTAATCTGAAGCAGAACTTTAAGGAGTTGGTGCCTTCGTAGCTTGAAACGAACAATTATGCCAAATGTTTGATCACAAACTGAAACAAACATATTCGCATCTTTCTGTAGTAATAGTTTGGAGTACAAGAGGTAGTAATTCGAAAATATTACCCGTCATGCACAATGAAAAAAGTTCTCCTGCTTCAAGCTGCTCAGTACAGTCCAGACATTTCGCCCTAAGTATGTTCCACTGAATGTCGCCGCGTAGTTTGCAGTGGTGCCATTGTGGCAACCAGCTATGCACGATTACCAGTAAAACTGCGATCTCTCGACTTGGAAACGAATGTGCCCACAAGTGGGCACATCTTGGGCTGCTGCGATATGAATCATGATCAGTCTCATCAAACCACCTTTGAAGAAATCTCATTTATAACGCTATATAAGAGACCACAAAAATATATAAATATCGAAAAATCAGTAATAATTCTGCAAGCAAGGGGAAGATACGATTTTGTACACTTGATTTCGAGTCACAGGCTCACCCCTTATGGCGGAATAAACCAACTTCAAATTCGAATTCAAACTAGCTTCAAAAACAAAGCTAGTTAACAAGCCCAGTTAACAGCCTTGTTCCTGGTATTACAATTCTTTGCTTCGTGATAATTGAAATTTCACGATCCTTAACCTTGAGACTAGTTACCAGAAGGAAACCATAATGATGAAAAAACAGAATATACTCCGTACAATAAGAAACTGAAGTTAATTACTCCATAAATAAGAAAATCCGTACAAAAATAGAAGTTCCTCTAATCTGCTTGACAACAACGACGTCACTAAGAGCATAATCCAGATCATT